ATTTCCGTCCATGAACAGGCTCAATCAAACCGAGCCTGCAAAATTTACAAATTTGTCGTTTTGAACTTTCTTTATGTATTCTTTATTTTCTCTATTTACTCATTTACATAAGTTGACACTGATACATAAAACATTATCATCTCTTCATTTCATATGAACCAGAGCTGTTTAGGAAACTTTTTTGTCAGAATGTCTAAATATGTCAAATCATAATTTCTAAATATGCAATCAGAATGTCTAAATAATGATGTCAAATCAAAATGTCTAAAGTTATCAAAGCTCAAATCAGAATGTCTAAATATTTCAAATCAGAATTTCTAAATATCAAATCAGAATGTCCAAATAAGTCAAATCAGAAAGTCTAAATATGGCAAATCAGAATATCCTACTATTGCATATTAATTTGAAAACGTAGTTAAACCGTACCATGCTGGAACAGAAAATTATAAGTCTTTGTCACTAGTAAATTTCCCGGTCAACCTTCATGTCTGCCACGCTTTATATGCTCGTTTGTTTAATTTTTGTTTATAATTTTTCAGATCCCTCTATTGAAACAAATACATACGAACTTAAAGCAAAGTCAGTCCATTACACAGACTCAGCAGGTTAAGGGTTGAATAGTAACAAAAGTGATGTGTTTGGGGAAAATTAAATAATAACGTGCTGATGAATGCGTCAGATAAATCTTTTCTGTTTGCACATTTGTATTGATCAAGATTTAAAAGAAATTTCATCTGTGGTAATCTTTTATCTTTAACATGCATCAACATCTTAACATTAAAGCAATAAAATAGAAATGACGATAATTATTTGTCATGTAATATCGAATTTATGAGCGTTCTTTAGCACGTGAAACAAAAGTCAAATTTTACAAAGAGCATAAAAAGCGAAAACTAAATATTTGAAAACTAGATTACAGGTATTTAAGCATCCTGCTTTGTATATATATTTTATTAAAATATATTGCGTTGGACAAGTTAAAAAAATAAGAAGCTTAATGGGGAAAACAATATATTTAATTAATCGAAGGGATATAACAGTCGCAGAAACATGGTATGACATCGGGAACAACACTTTTTCAAACCCATAAATAAACAGTTTGCTTTACTTCCAAAGACCAGTTATTTCAACTTGTTACTTTATCTCAACGATAATTTTGATTACGCAGAATTATGATAAAAACGGTTGTATATAAAACTCTAATCTGTAACATTGATTTCAGATTTATATTGCTTTTCATACTTACTGCGATTGTATTTTGCATAAAAACAATGAAGAAAAACCGTAATTACAATAAATGCTTTTTTGGTCTGATTTTTGACTAACTCTGTAAATACAACTTAGCGATGTTCTAATATTTAAGCTTTAACTTAAATTGGTCAGCATAAAGAAGGTAACGGTGATATTTAAACTAAGTTGCAATACAGAAATTTCCAGTTATAATCTATTTTGTAGAGAACTTTAATGTGAAAAATTTATGTAATTACATAAATTCCTTCACCATGCTTGTTACTCCGTGCTTACGTATGGAAACCATACAAGGCATCTTCTGATACGAATTTTGGAAAGAAACCTATGACACTTTTATATCAATCTAGTGAGATACGCCTCCAAAGGTTTAAAGTATATCTGTAAAACCAAACATACGGACAAAAAAAATATTTTGAAAATATATAATTGCTGTTTTTATTTCCTTTCTTTTTATCTCTTAAATCTAATTGCTGTATCATTATAGCGGAATACGGAAGCAAATAATTAAAAGAAGCAGCAATAAGGTTTTTCATTGTTCTAATTAATTTCAAAATGAAATGCCGCCATAATAAAAAGCAATGTTTGTCTTTTATTGCAACATGTAGATTGACAATTATCAGATACAATTATATTTCAAACAATTACCTATTAAAAATTTAATGTCAATTTAATGAAGAAAAAGTGTTTTTTACATTATTTTATGTTTTAATACAAACTCGTTTAGAATATAATTCATGTTGTTTTGGGAATAAAATTAATTGTATACCAATAGTATCACATAATATCTTTAATTCAGATCATTACGTAAGAAATTAATATCTTAAAAAAGTGTTGACGGGCTTCTTTTAAGTCAACACTTACATGTTTTACAATAAGATAGTTACCTAGTTCTTTGAAACTTACATTATAAAAGAATTGACAAAAGTTAATTTTGATAATATTGTAATACATTAAGAATAACGAATTGTATATTACACGTATGCATAAGAGAAATGTATATAAATATTCGCTTTCAAAATTTATACAACTATTATAGAACATTTTTGCACACATATTATTACGATAATGCATTGGTATATTATTAGCAGTGTTTTTCTATTTATTAATAAATGCAAAGACGCTGTATATCGGTTGGCTAAAATACAATTTCATTTCATCAAACATATTATTTGCATTTAATGTTCTCATATATTCGTGTAATCAGGTGTTTTCCTTTGTCGAAAAATGATGCAAACTTATTTCATCGTATATCGAAGTATTTTTCACAGTTACCAAATTATACGTTAAGAAAAATAAAGGCAAAGCAACACTTTGATGGATACCGCCGAAAAATCAATTTTAGTTGCACACGCCCAGTTTTTCAGATATTTTTCTAAGTTATATATGGTATCTAAATAATTAGAAAAAAGAAGACGATACTGGTATCGTGCAAGAGCAAATTAATTGAAATTACAATTCCATGAAAACAATTTTGATACGAGTAATGTTAGATTTCTACAAAATACCAGAAACAATGTGAGTAATTAAGAAAATTGTGACATAACAATACACTGATTCATGTGCTCGATAAATCAATTTTAGTCGAACATATGAATAGGGTTAAGTTTTAAGAAGTTTGACTTTGTTGTGTTTATGTTCCTATTGACTATCATCTCATACATTTCATAAGATGGAAATGTTAATATCCTTGAATTATATAAATTATAGCGCTTTTATAATACTGCACGTTTGAAACGTCGCTTTTCATTGGATATTAGTGACGTTTATATAGATTTATATATACGGCTGCTGTCGACTCATGAAGAAATCTTACTTTTTGTTTTAAAAAATGATGCTTGCTGTATTATAAATTCGGTATAAAGATTGTTGACAGGTTATATGGCCGTATATAAACGGCTGTTTGCAATATAACCCTCGCCTAGCGGCTCGGGTTATATTTACAAATAGCCGTTTATATAGGGCCATATAACCTGTCAACAATCTTTATAACTAATAATATAACCCATTATGTTAAATAAAATATATCATAAAAGAGATATGTAGTAATTAATTATAAATCAAAGGTCATCATAGTCTGAAGTAAAGATAACGTATAAAACCCACAAACAAAGCTATGAATTCTCCCTATTCTATGTAAGCCATTTCATAATACATTTCGCTTCATTTTTTAAATGCATCTGTGGAAAGTGGATGCATAATATTTAGTAATTGAATATGGAAACATTTGAACGATAATATACTGTACATGTTGAACGGAATGCAAAAAAAAACAATTTTTATATCAAAACTGACATGGAAATTGATGGTACATTTTTATATTGTTATTGAATTAAAATATGGCCGCAGAATGTCTTACTTTCAGCTAGCTACTCCCTTAACAACAAACGAAACAAACACTATAGGATTTTAAACTTTGGCTTTGAAACATATCTTCTTAGTGCATTTATACCTCTCCCTCTCCACAGTATCAGTCCCTTATATAGAATCTAAGTGAATACGAGAGAAACAAATTAAACATTAATATTAGCTCTCTATCAAAACACAGCTGTGGTGCAAATGAAATATAGCATTGAGGCAGAATAAAAGCTGCAGATATAAAACAGAATTAAACAAACTTCTTAATATGGTGGTTAGATAGAAAGAGAAAACGTATTGCTTTATTTATATTTGTCATATTGAATTAAGGTTATGTATGTTTGATATTGACGTTTTATTAAGTTAGACAATGTGAAAAATTGTAGAGAATATGAACAATTGAAGTAATGAGTGAGTTGGTCTAATTCATTTTTTAAATTCCCCAGATGAACATGTAATTGTTAAAAGTTAAAGCAAATCCGCTTCTGAAAATTCAGAGCCCAATTTTATTCAAACCAATGGCAGATATTTCAGATATTTTTTGAAATTACAGTATCAAGAAAATCAGTTGTCAACATTAAATTTCAATGACACGATTACAATAAAATGTAACACGAATATATACTCAACTTTTTTTGAAATGTTATGTTTTGTTGTTGTTGTTGTTTTTGGTGTTTTTTAAAGTTTTTTTGGGGGGAAGTGGGGGTGTTTGTTTGTTTTATTGTTGTTGTTTTTTGTACAAAATGATAGAAATGTTACAAAAAGAATTATTCGATATTGAGAACCAAGGGAACTTTAATTCAACATTAATTTATTGATAAATAAATAAATAAATTTGGAATCAAAATGAATGTCCTTTAGGGTAAATTACGCTGTACTTAATTGAAAAAGGATGCAGTGAGGTGATTTGTTGCCGTATTAATGTATTCTTTACAAAACATTTGCTCGAATATATCAAAAGATTACACAATATGATTCTTATGCATATAGATCTTAAGACGCCATAACATGTAAGAGCGTATTTCTGTAATGTTTAGTTTGTTCTGAAAGAAAGCTACAAGCAACTTGCATCGAATAAATATTTTCTTCGGCTCTACGCACTTTTATATTAATATTTCTTTGGCGGCTCCTAACAATTCGAATCTATTCCAGAGACTATGAAGTCATATTTCTTGTGAGTAAATTCTCCTGCTACCTGTGTAAGTGTTAGCAGGGAATAACGCATGGGGTTGTGTCTTCCTTAACCAGAAACATAGAAACCTTTATTGTACCGAGTCGTTATTAAACTCGAGTAAGATATTGTTTTGTTTTTAAATATGAAGAATATGAAATTGTATATCGCACACTGGTTAGAAATATAAAACACAAGTTAAATGAAGTAAGGCCCCATTATTTCATATCGTTTTATTGTAACAAAAAGACAATTTACCCAATAATTAACACATTTATTTGAAACGGTATGATTATCTTATAAACATATTTCTACATTCATTATTTATATGTCCATTATTTATACGCCCATAATTTACACACCTCTTTTTGTACAGGAGTTCACAGTTCTACACTTCACCATTAACCATATATGGTCAATTATTTTAGTGATGACCACACCTTATAACAGACACCACTGCACGCTTATTGGTGATGGCATTGTTATGATACAATTTTATAATTATATTTTCTACATGTAATTAAAAAGATATTTCTACATTCACTATTGACATTCACTATGGACACGTTTTATAATTATCTAAACAATCATTCTATGTTATTTATATATTATACGGATCTTTCTACACAATTAAACAATGTACAAAAATAGAAATGAAACAATCAAAATACTGAGCGTTGCATGACGAACAAGTGCGTTTGATAAGTGGCCAATTGCTGATCATTTCATCAAAGACAATTGTCATCAATAGTAAAATCAAGAACGTTATAGTAAACATTTATTGCACACAAATATATACTTAAATACTGGTACTCAGTCAATCTTTGCAATATTAATAACGTCATATCTATTATACTTGATCATCTCTGGACACAATTTGCAATATTAATTACGTCATAAATGTTACGCTTGATCATCATTTTGACATAATTTGTATCGTTATTTACTCAATAAAACTGGAAGATCTTTGAAAATGGGCTATAATAAAACAATCAATATCACAAAATGACGCATCGGTTATTTCTAAGAGCATCTTGCACTCGTAACGACGTCGGTTTATGCCCATAGTCTATGTAATCAATCGTTTTCATAAGCTCTTTGAATAATAATATCACATGCCAGTTGTATTTAGCTGAGCATTCAATATAACCACATTTCCAATGTTTCTTTACTAAACTGGCGACCTCCCGACGAGATATTCCACGCTCTTCCGACAGGTCATATTTGTTGCCGACGACAAACAGTGGAATGTCGTGCATATCGCGACTTTCTAGAATTTGTTCCCGTAAGTTTTTGATATAATGAAAACTCTCTTCCGCTGTAATGTCATAAACCAAGATATAAGCAGAAGCGTTCCGAAGACCATATCCTCTATAATCCGTCCACTCGTAAAGGGAACTTACCGGAAAATAAGGAATATACGGGCAGTCAATTATTTTTAGCTCGTATAAATGTTCGTTGATTATCACTGACGGGTAAAATACTTGTTTAATGTCGGTCGGTGTATACTCCTCTACAAACATATTAGACACAAACTGTCGAACAATGGATGTTTTTCCGACCCCCGGGGCACCCAGAACGGCAAGTTTTACTCGTTGTTGGTCAGAATCTATAGTTAAATGACTTGTGGTCATTTTTACGTACGCATTCATTTTTTACTATATGCACAAACACATTGACTTATTTGGGTACACATTACTTCACGTTTTCTAGGTAAATGAGTTTTTAATCAGGATGCAATATTCCATGGATATTTGCACAGGGTGTTATAAAATATGTGTGCAAACATTTATCAAATATCTCTGTTGACATACACTTAACGTTTCAATGTCTAACTATTTATAGTTTACTTCCTTTTCATGTACATCATAAAAATGACAATAATATCATAACATCAAATCAAATTAAGAATATATACTTAAATACCTTGCATTAACATATTTGACTCGTATCATTTTCTTATAACCTCAAATGTTTCAATATTTTGCATAGAAGCTTACTCTTCCTTTATTATGATTTAATGCTTGAATGTTCGACTCATTTGCAAGTTTTATAAATTATATGAGTACTTGCATTCACAAAATTAATAATGTATAAATTGAAGTATGATGTTCTGTTTCATTCATATAAGACTCACTTTAAGCAAAATAAACATTCATTCACCTTGACATTTTATCCCATCAATTTTATATTTAATTTGTCAGCTTCTGTAAATTCTTTCTTTAAAAGATATATTGCATCCTAGCATGAGCAACAAATCCACTTTTCATTCCAATATTCCTTCCTGTATCATACTTTTAAGACCTATAATCACAGAAAATATATCTAGCGTTTAACCAATGTAGGCACAAATTGTTATCTATCTAAACTGTCGTATCTTTAAACATGCATTCTTGTGCTACTTTTTCATTATATCTCTTTCGTAATTTTTCAATCTCAAGCAACTGTTTGTTTCGTAATTTCACATAATCGAAACCCAGAACAATGCATATTCATCGTATTAACATTGTCATGGCAATTTATCAAATTAATTGTTACAATCTTAAATTTTCCAAATGATTCATCATAATTTTTAAACACTCCTTCGTGGTGCAATTCCAAATTGAAAAATAAGCCATCCTCAAACTAAACAACTATCCAATCGGCGCAAAGAACGTTTATCGAAGCAAGCAGTCTTGTCTGGTTCTGATATCGTCGTCCTTCCAATTCCCAGTTATTGCTAGACGCTTTGCATGTTGTTTAATCTCCTTTATTGGCTCATATCGGCCTGTTTCAATAAAGACCGAAACAGCCTAAATAGCTTCAATACATCTGTCTGTTGACGGATATGTCTAAGATTGCTTTATATAGATTAAGACGGAAAATTTGCTATGTCTTGCACACTTGCCTGCTGCCAATTTAATCGCTTTTGATTGAATGTCGTTGACAGTTAAAGATTAAAGCAGTCAGAGGTTATTCCAGATATTTGGCCATATTAATTGAATCTAGTTGTTGTTTTTTTATTTGTTTAAATTCAAATATATAACATATTACTATTGAATTCAATCAAAGTTTCATTTCGTTAATTGAATATCCGATTTTTCCATTTACTACCCAAAATATCGCTGTTCTTATTCCCGACTTATTCAGTTTTATACGGCGTGTTATGCCGCTTATTATTCATATAAACAGTGGTAATGAAATTTCCTCACGTAAAAAAGTCGTGTTTCTCAAGAATTAAGAATTGTCTTTGGCGATTATAAAAGCGCTTAACATAAGCAATACGCTTGTATGTGTAGTGCCCGGTAACTTAAAACTAATCCTGATTTAAAGTTTCTTTGATAGCGTTCAAATTGTCTTTGAAAACATACCCGATGTCCGGCTTGCATTGTAAATTGCAATTCTAAATATACAAATACAAGATACTAAGTCAAGCATATGTTTAACTAACGTAGTTATAGATAATATTCCTTGTCCATTATCCATTAAACAGAAAAAGTGTTCTGTATCTGATATTCATATGAACGACCACAAGCTGATGGACACAAACACAGTCACATTGGCAGTTGTCATTGGTTCCGTTCTGAAAACAGATATGCGAGATATATGAATCAATTTGAACATAGATAAAATATCTAGTATCAAAACTATTGTAACATCTAATATGTTATTCAATATCACACGTACAAATGGTAATTAATTATATATTTACGCAGTAATACAGAAAAATATAGTAAGTATCACATTTATTTTATGTTGATATAATACAGTAATGGTGCTCTTTGTGCCATATGTGCGCAATAACTATACTGATTCCATTTTCACTGTTATATAAAAATATAATGGGTGAATTAAATATGTCACATTTTGAAAAGAAAACACGATTTAAACACCACTAGAAGTTAAAACAATTTCAATTTCAATTTTTATATAACATTTGCGTCATGTTTTGAAAATAAATGAATCGGATATGTAATTTTACAGGACTTCGCTTTGTAATGTTTACATTGTTCCAGGATAAACCTGATAATGATTGATCCCTATAGAGAAGTTAAACTTTCATATGTGCAAATGACAGACTTAGCTTGATAGAGTATGAAATTGAAAGGCAATGAAAAGTGCACCATCTGTCATATCCCCACTAGCACCGGTTTAAGCAGTATTCAACCGTCAGTACTTTAAATATGGGAATCAATGAAATTCCTAGCGAGGTACCTGCCGTGATAAGTCCCAATATATAAACGGTTTTTAGTGCCATAAAGCATTTACACATACATAATCCTCTCATGGTAATTCTCCAAACAAAGATGTTTATTATTTACAACCTTGTGTTGCTTTCACTTCCCTCCAAGTCATAATGAATCAAGAGAATATCAAAAGAATGCATACGTTATCATATCTGTAGCCATTGTGTGCGTTTTTCTAATGTAAAAGCAATATAAACAGCGGATAAGAGAGTAAAGATATTTTTTAGATGTCACAATTTAAAAGTTTTGTAAAAATCCACTCGCAATTTTTTTTAACAAACACGTCGTTGACTCTTACGCTGCCAATATCATTTTTTAAACATCATAGCGGCATCCGTGCGGGAGTACATACGTGCAAACAATTTTTATCGCGGAAGTAAGTTAATAATTTTTCATCAAAATAAATTTCTGAGAATTATTTGTTTTTAATTTTATTCTTTTTAAGTCAATAAGTCAATATAGCTCTTTTTTCTTCACATCTTGATGGCAAACGTGATTTTGCACATTTGAGGTTTCTGTAAAGTAACATCTGTTTTTATGAGCTATGTATTATCAAGTTTTGTTTTTACGTTCTAGATTTCCATCAATTTATGGATCACATTAAGAAAAACAACACACCACCAAAGCATCTCCTACCTTTAATGAGCTTCTCGCCTGCACATAACAATTTATGAAATGACAATATACCTGCTTTGGTCATTACTGTGAATAAGAGAAATTGTAGCGCAGATAGGAAAATATCGTATTTACTCTTTTGAATTAGCACTGGTTGACAGACCAGGAATTCCTAATTGAACTGATTATTATTGGCTGTCATAACTGTCTGGTCTTCAAAGTAACAGCTGCATAACACGAGACTATTTGCATATGACCGTACAAAGCTGTACTGTAAACATATATACTGATAAGAGGAGACGGTATTTTTTTCATTGGAACTACGTCATATTATAAGAGCAAAATTGTACCCTGATAATGTGTCTATCTTGTTGACAAAGGATTAACATTGATAGAAACATAAGCTTGGGCAATTGAATTTGTTTATTATCTAGTTTCGACATTAAAAGCTACTTGCTTGTCTATTCAATGTTATTGAAAAGTATGTTTTAAAGTACAGTTTTTGAATTTAATTTGCCCGTTTGTCCAAAAACAATCTTAGAAGCTGGTATTGATATCAAAATATCAAATTAAATATACATTATAAGTTACCGTCCACACCACCTATAAAGGCGTATTCAAAATTGCAAAAATCTAAACATGAAAAATTGAATTATTTTCAAGTTTGTAAATGAAAAATATTTTAATACAGTGGCGATGATAGTGGTGATGTGAGAATGCAAATCATCCATTTACTATAGAAGTATGGCAATTGTACTGTTGGTATTTCTGAGGGTGAAAAACTGAATATTTCAGTAACAATTCATAAACATATAAAATGCATTATCTGCTAATGGTGACATGATCTCCTATTGTTTTGTTTTAAACTCCTTTAAGAGAAATCAAATTAATCTTTTGCATGAAGTGTAAAACACAGGAATGGTTTTAATCGGGATTTTTTTTTATTCTTAGCATTTAAAATGAGAACTAATCGAAAACTATAAATCAAAATATTAAAACATTAATTTTCTGACATAAATGTTTAAATTAATATGTAAATGCAAGTAATAGATATATGTATGTCATTACCTTGAAATTTAGAAAATGACAGCGCAATAATTGAGTATGAATTTGCCGAAGACAATAATGTACTTCCGAAAACTGTTCTTACTTAATCACTGAGTGAATTGAAAACTACAATTTTTATGAGCAACGTAATCCTATTTGAGTTTAATATCCTAAATGGAATCGTCAATCTATCAGTCTGGACAAAATCATACATAATTTTAGGGGAAAGTTTTCTAATTATGAACAGGCGAAAATCAGTTGCCATCAGCAGAGCAATAGTTGGACTTGGTAATTTTACAAATTACATAAAATTCCTACCCATAATTTGTTCTATTATAAACCGTTAAAAATAGAAAATGGAAACATTAAAGTAATCGACAGACTCAGCTAACTGAAAATGCTAAAGGCTTACTTATAAAAAGTTGGTTAGCGGCCTTGTTACTAGTATAAGATGTAATGGTTTGTTTATTACAAGCTATTTAAAATATTTCGTTCTAAATCATATCAAGCTTAAAGTGATTTTTTTTATTATGTTAGTGTAGTTTATTGCACGTAAAAGTTGTAGTGTTACACTACTGTTGACAAATATATTATACCTTATGCAAGAGTTTGGGAAATATTGGCTACTTTTGAATTATTAAGAAAGCGTATATTAGGTACTACTGCTAAATTAAATAACAAAAGGGTAGTATTATTTTTATTAAATATTATCCTTATTTATAAAGAAGTTTTATTGCTTTAAAACCATGGTCTTGTTAAATGATCCTACAAAAAATAATTGAGAAATATATAGCTCACGTTACTATGGCAGTAGAAATATTCTCGTGCATAAAACTTACATAAGTATGAAATATGCTATCATCTTATTATTCAAGGGAATGTGAAAAACCTTGGCCTGAATATATCGTTATGACATTTCATAGAAAGGAAGCTGAGAAAGAATTGTAATTATTGTATATGGCTTCTGATGACTTAACAAAGCTATTTGTCCAATTGAGACAACTCGAAGTCGTAAGCAAGTCTTCTTTTTTCCTAAATTGTGTCAAAAAGTACAACTTGATTTATAGTTTCCATGTTAATAGCATATTTTCAAGTT